TCTCAAAGATATACAATGAAGTTAAGGTTAAAATTTTAAATTCACCAAAAAATTATCTACACGATATCCTGTTATTGACTCTTTTTATCAGTCTTAAACATTGTTTTTGGATTTTAAATACAGTTTGAATGTCCTTTTGACCACAGCCCCAAAAAATAATACCATATCTCAATAAAGATTCAAATTTCGCAAAATGCACACTTCTCAAAATTGGAAGACTGACCAAATCTCGTAAGGATTTGATAAGATAGATGGTTTTGTTTAATTTCTGAACTAAATGGTGAATGTGAGAGGACCAACTTAAATTCTCTGTAATATATATACCTAAAAGTTTTAAATTAGCTGTGTATGTTATTTTCTTATTATTCAAATAAAGTTCCGTTTTATCAATTTGACGGGGACCACGTCCCTGAAAAAAGAGTGCTTTTGTCTTTTCAATATTAATAATAAGATGATTTACAGCGAACCAATTTTCTAATTGATGCATAGAAACTATAGTTTTATCATTTAAAGATTTAAGATTTTTGTCAGTAATTAGTATATTGGTGTCATCTGCAAATAAAACAACTTTCGCTTCATGAACAGCTTTAGGCAAATCGTTTATAAATATTAAAAACAAAAGAGGTCCCAGAACTGAACCCTGAGGAACACTGTACTTTATTTCCTTACACGAAGAGGAGAATGATTCTTGATTTGGAGACTTGGCATCAACATGGACAATTTCTACAAACTGGGATCTACCCGTAAGATATAATCTCATCAAAGAGAGTGAAATTCCTCTAAACCCATAAAAATTGGAGCAGCATAACCATGGTTTGGTGAAGAATATGCAGAACTATTGGATCAAAGGAAATTAGCCAGATTGCAAAGATTACAGGATCAGAACCAAATAAATAGAGATAATCTGAGCAATGCAGTGTGTCAAGACATTTCATGAACAAAGAGAGGGAATGTCTGAAAGATAGAATTAATGAGCTTGCAGCACACAGTGAGAAGAGGAAGATTAAATACTTTAATAGAGGTGTAAATGAATTCATTCATTCATTCATTTATTTGCATTCTGTTAATCCATACAAGGTCAAACCAACCTATGGGATATAGAACCTGTCAAGATACAAATGTAATATAAACATAAAATAATGATATATACATACATTCATAATGAGCACAATAAGGACATAAAGTAAAACACAGTATTGCATAACAGCAGTGTCACAAAACACATTTTGATCAAATTTAAATGGGATTTCAAGAACTAACTTAGTAAATGAGGAGAAGGGTGATCTGCTTACAGATTCAAACAATTTTGAATAGATGGAAAAATTACTTGTCTTAGCTATTGAATGTATATCAGGTAAATGATATTCATCAACAACAACAGCAACAACAAGAACAATAATCTGTGGGTGATATAGTCCATGATGAACTTTGGCCTCTGTTTTACAGTTTCTTAATTATAGAGACAGTCAGTAGGACTCTGTGTGTGTGTGTGTGTGTGTGTGTGGGGGGGGATCAGCCCACCACAAGGCCGCTACCAACACAGGACAACACAAACACTAGAATGAAGGCAGACAAACATCCAAGCCTTGAGTGGGATTTGAACACATAACCCCAGTGTTTGAGCAGGCAAAGACAGTTCATGCCACTGTGATTGGTGGTGAATGATATTTTTACCAGAGCCTAGCCCTTTTGAAGTTGAGATTGATATTGAACAGTATAAAAGATGTAAATCACACGGTATTGATCAGATTTCAGCAGAATTAGTTCAAGCAGCAGGTGAAACATGTTCTGGCATCTAAAAGCTCATTATAAGTAAGAATTGCCTCAGCAATGGAAGGACTTGTTATTGTACCTGTTTACAAGAAGGATAGTAAAACTGACTACAGTAATGTTTGAGGAATATTGTTGTTGACTTCATACAAAATTTTATCTAATATTGTCTCAAAATTAACTTCTTATGTAGACAAAATTATTTGGGTTCTTGGGTTTGATCTAATAAATCAGTTAGTGATCAAATTTGTTGCATTCATCAGATACTGGAGAAAAGGTGGGTTACTGTGTAATGGTACATCAGCTGTTTATGGACTTCAAGAAAGCCTGTGGTTATTACTGAGTCTGGTATACCCATTAAACCATATAGGCTAGTTGGAAGGTGCTTAATTGATACCCATAATTAAGTCTGTATAGGTAAACATTTGCCGTACATGTTTCCTATTCAGAATGGTCTGAAGCAAGAAGATGCATCACCTCCAGCCCTCCATTAGTCATGTTTGTGTGTGAGAAGCTTTGCAAATTTTCCTTTTGTTGCTGAATCTAGGAATGTAACAATGGCAGAGTTTCAGTCTCGTGATTTAGTATTTGAACTGTGATAGTCAGGGTTTAAGGCATAGGTGGATGAACAGTATTAGAATGGATCTTAGAGAGATAGGATGGGATGGTATGGATTGGATAGATCAGGCTCAGGATAGGGACCAGTGGAGGGATCTTGTGAATACGATGATGAACCTTCGGGTTCCATAAAATGCTGGGAAATTCTTGAGTAGCTGCAGAATTGGCGGCTCCTCAAGAAGGGCTCAGCTCCATGAGTAAGTAAGTAAGATAGTCAGGGTTTATGTTGGAATATTAGCTTTGTGTGTGTGAGTGAGTGCATGTGCACATGTGCATCAGAATTTAACTTTAATAGCATTCATAATGGGCCTGAAAAATTTTAAAGTAGGAGTAGTGAAGAAAAAGAAGTTTTTGGGGTTACATGTCACTGTTTTCCTTCTAGTTAAACTTCATTCTGACAAGCAAGGGCATGTTAGATCTATTAAATGATGCGAATAATATTGTATTTATTTTTCAGTTACAGCAAGAATACGTAATCTTCATGATTACCAGTTACGCTTATTACATAACATCATGCCAGTTCCTTCTGGAGTTGACATAGCAAACACGTTGAAGTATTTTTCCCAGACGCTCTTGAGTAAGTGCACCTACTCATATTCCTGTCTCCCTGTAGTAATACTATAAATATGTGAGATGATACTCATTGTAATTTTGCTTGTCAGCTGTGCTGAAGGATGTGCCGAGCTCTCCAATGGAAATGTTGAAATCTCAGGAAAAGGATTCTGTTCGTCTTGGATTATATCCCATTCTGGATTATAAAGGACTCTACAGTGCCATTGTACAGCTAACAGATGTTGTACCTCTCATTCAGTGTGGACTAAATGGTTTGTGTAATAATGGTAGCATGCGTAAAGTTTGGATGTCAAGTCATAAGTTCAGTTACAGAGTCTTACATTTACATTTATTTTTCACTTCATGGATACAATTATCTCCCCGTAGGGCTGGATATAGAACATGTTATATATGACAAATTCATGATGACTACACATCATTTGTCCTTTGTCCAATAAAATATATAATCAGGCCTCACACAGATAGCTCAAGTTGTCAGGACAGCACACATAGGTCTTGGAAAAACCAGTGTCAAATTCACACCTTGCCATTCCACTCTGGCAAGCCGTATCATCCAAACAGTTACATTATAAAATATTAAAATTCATAACTACTACAACATAACTACTACACTTACAACAAGAAAGTATCAAAATGTATTCCTTTTGTATTCTTCTATTTATATCTTTTTCCCCAGGAATTTGTTCATATCTGTCTGTCTTCCAAAGTTACACTCTTTCTAGATCTGAAAATAATATAGTGTGAAAGGTAAAGTTGTCCCTGTGTGTAACTAATTAAGCACTATGCCATGAAATCTATGGAAGAGTGTATATATAGATTCATGTTTTCTTGGCCTTGGCACTAATTGTAGGTGAATGGTCAGCTTCATGCCCCAGCCACATTGCACATGGGGAAAGAGCTGCTGGTACCCATTGGACATGAGGATGGGTGAGCCCCAGAGCCAACCTGGACAACGAGAAGAGAAAGTTTTTGATCCTACCTGGACTTGAACTCTGACCCCTCAGTTGCCGGTCATTATACTGACTGTGCTATTCCAGCTCAAATAATGTAGTCTACTCATACCATTTAGGGGTATGTAGTAGCATAATTGTTTGAGGCACTGTGCTAGAAACCTGAAGGTCCTGGGTTCGATTCCCAATGAGGTCATTGGAGTTTTCAGTTGACCTAATCCTTCCAGCTGCACTGTGGCCCTAGGGTCGACTCAGCCTGTAACAGAAATGAGTATCAGGAATCTTCCCAAACGTAAAGGGTGGTTGGTGTGTGAGGCTGACAACCTCACCGCAATCTGTGAGCTGATTGTCTAGAAAATGTGGGAGCCTCAGTGTCTCACGACCCCATCAGCGTTCACAGCCTGTGACAGGGATAGCTTTACCTCTTTTTTTATACTCAAAAAAATTTATTGTATTTTGAGGTCTTCACAGTGGTACGTGTGAAGAGTACTATCTCCTGGACCAGACCACAGTGTCACATTTGGAAAGATACCTTTCAACTTACATTTTGATGATTCATAGCAGTCTATAAATGGAAGTTGACAGATTAATCCAATCCACCTCCAAATTTTCTTTCTCTAAGATCAGTTCAATTCAATTCAATTTTATTTCATCCATGAATCATTATACATGATATGGGACAAGTCCATTTCAGTATTTCTCTCCCATTTCTCCATAGAGCACTCTTATGAGGATTTCCTATCAAAATATGTTAAATATTTTTTTCATTTACACCATGTAATCAAGGTCTCTGTTGTTGTTGTTATTTTTGCAAAACTATAATATTAATGGTACCCAATTTTTACAGTGTTTGGTCAGGCTATGCTGCAGTGTTTGGGATGTCTTCTTCCGTTTTTGGATCATGACATGATTGATACTCTGCCATATATGACAGCATCTATGGTGGCAGTTCTGCCTAGTGAATTGCATCAAGAAATCATAAACTCACTCTGCTTTTATATCTTGCCTTTCACTATAAGTAAGTTACTATGCTACAATCATGTCCTATTGAAGTGTGTCTTTATAAACTAATTTTACCTTTTAACTTCATTTTGTTGAAAAGGAAATAACACTGATTCTCTAGCAATACTTTGATTTTATGAGTCATTATGAACATAAACTGGTATCAGGAAATCATGTAACAGATGAAATGGGAAAATATTCTTATAAATAGAACCAGGGGTGAATTCTTAAAAACAATTTTTAAGGGTATTTCTGTGTTCAGTATAGGTTTCACTTTAAATGTCCACATAATATCCATAAAAATGGAGCGAAAGCTCTGTAGACCAAAAGTCATACAGTTTTATATTCTTGTGTTTTGTGTGTCATCATATTTATTTATTTATTTTGTCTCTATAGATCATTGTTACATGATATAGGACAAGTCAGTTACTGTACATTGGCTGATTACAATAAGAGAATAAAGTTGCAATACTTACAGTTGTTTACGGTAGATTACAGTAGTTAAGATTTAAGTAGGCCTCCTGTCAGCAGCATGGCATAGCATGCCCTGGTGTTTCTGGTGAAGGAATAGGCCTCCAGATATGGAGAGTAGTTGCAAATATATTGAATAAGCAGTTACGGAGAGCCAGCAAGGAGTGGCACACTACGTGGGTGGGTTGGGTATGGGCTAAAGATAAAAGATCACCTTGTTACAAACTATTACTCAGGGCCTCAGACTTGGATGGATTCTTTTGTAAGGCCTAAGCAACAGAATGTGGAAATGAGATTTTAAACATGGAATGCAAGGAGTCTGAAGAGCAAGTTCATTGACAGCAGTTGCAAGATAAATAGCAAAGTACAAGTCAGATGGTGTAGGGATGGCACTGAACCAAGTAGCAATTGTAAATTTTTATTTGGAAGTGAGAATGAGAATCATGAATTAGGGATACGATTTTTTGTATGAAGGAAAGTCATATTAGCAGTAAGAGGAACTGTTTATTAGTGACAGGATGTTGTGTATAGTACTGAGGGATTGCTGCTCACTTGTGATTATTCTGAACATGCATGCCCCAGCAGAGGATAAACTTGATGACGCAAAGGATCGCTTCTGTGAGGATCTAGAACATGTGTACTGTTAATTACCCAGGTTCTGTATAAACATTTTGTTAGGAGAATTCAGTGTCAAAGTAGGTGGTAAAGATAATTTCAAACTGACAGTTGGTAAGGTGAGCTTACATGAAATTGGCATTGATGATGGAGTTTGAGTAATGTTCTTTGCCACATCCAAAAATCTAATTGCCAGGAGTACAGTGTTCCCACATTGCAACTTTCACCTTGGATATCTCTTAATGGAAATTCACACTGTCAAACTGACCACATCTTTGATTTGTTTCATTCTGGTCCGTCACAATAACAATTACAATTATAAATCACTCCGTCCAATGTGACTTGTAAGTTTTTTACTACATAAAAACTTAACACCCTTACATGTTTCGGTCTCTGTGGACCATCTTCAGAGGGCAAACATCACTACAAATAGGAAACCACCATCACATAATTTGTTTACACGTAAAGTACGTNGGGGGGGGGGACAGTAGGTTGGTAGGTAGGTGGGTAGGAGGTGTATCAGAAAGTTCCGGGACTAGGTCAAAAAAGAAATGCTGACTTACTACTCTGTCCACAAGATATCCCACCATGGGCCGGGAAAACAAAGTTCTGTATCTGGGTGGTTACAATACCTAATCCCCTTCAAAGTAGGCCCCTTGCGACTCCACACACTTAGCCCAGCGGTCCTTCCATCACTGGAAGGAATTATGGAAGGCTTATTTTGGAATGGTGTGCAGCTCTGCTGTCATGTTCTGTATGATGTCTTCGTGGCTGTCAAAACGGGAGCCTTTTAGCGGTGTCTTCAATCTCGGGGAACAGCCAGAAATCATGAGGAGCCATGTCAGGAGAGTAGGGAGCCTTGTGAACCTGCAGAATGCCATGCTTGGCCAGGAAACCCTGGATCAGGTGTGATGTCATGATGCAGCTGCCAGTTGCATGCATCCCACAGTTCCAGTCTTTTGTGCTGAACTGCATCATGAAAATGGTGGAGAACTTCTTGGTAGTACTCCTTATTGACAGTTTGGCCTAGTGGTGTGTACTCATGATGCACAACACCCCAGTAATAAAAAAAAGCAGTCGGTATCACTTTCACATTGCTCCGAACCTATCGTGCTTGTTTGGGCCTCGGGGATGTTGGATGCTTCCATTGTGATGTGTGGACCATGGTTTCTGAGTCATATCCATACACCCACGACTTATCACCAGTGATCACAGTCTTCAGGAACTCAAGATCCCTGTTGGCGCACTCCAGCATGTCCTGTGTGAACTGAAGGAGGAGTTGTTGCTGCTCCGGTGAAAGCAGCTTGGGCATGAATTTTGCCGCCACTTTTCACATGCCCAGATCCTCAGTTAAAATTGTGTTTGCGGAACCTCTGCAGATCCCAACCTCATTAGCAACTTCCCGGATGGTCAAACGATGGTCCTCCATGATCAATGTCCACACTTTTTCAATGATGTCAGGCTTTCGGCTCATTGATGGTTTCCTGGAATGCTGGTCACTCTCTGCCAACATACGGCCATCTGTAAAGCAGTTGAACCACTCTTTAATTTGAGCGACCCCCATTGCATCATCGCCAAAAACCTGCTGAATTTTGCGGATTGTTTCCGCTTGGGTATCCCCAAGTTTCTGACAAAACTTGATGCAGTATCGCTGTTCCAAGCATTCTGTCATCTTGAGCAAAATGAGAATGCGACGAACACGTGTTACACCACTTTGCTATGTGGCAGCCACAGGTACATCTGGCGATATTGGGAGTGAGCAAAAAATCACACATGCACATGAAAGTCCCTTTTACCACCACGCTCAGTTTCCCCACCCCTTTGGCCATGAGTTACAGCGGAAAAAATAAAGTCGGATATTTTTGGACAGCAGTGTAACTTACTCAGTTTTGGCTGCCATCTCCTTCAACATAGTCTGATTGGGAATGCGTACAGTGATCCCATTGTTTTTTCCACACTTCAGAAGCACCATGGAAGTCATTTTCCTTAATGCTATTGAGTACCACTTGTGATTCTTTTTGGATGTCAGGCACTGTTTCAAAACGTTGCCCCTCCAGTTTCATTTTCATTTTTTAAAACACAGCAAAACCACAAGGTGCTAAGTTCGGCAAGTAGGAGGATGGGGAACGATAAGTGTGTTGTTGTTTTTCACAAACTCTGTGGTTTTCAGGGACGTGTGGGTGGGCACGTTGTTGTAATGAAGGAGCAGTGCGGCACACATTTAGATTTCTCCTGGCAAACTTCATAACAGATCCCAACGGTTTCTGTGAGCTAATGGATTATTTGGTGACTGTCTTTGTGGATGAGTTCACGATTTTTTNCTACATTTTCTGACATTTTTGCTGGTTCTTGGTTGCACTCGATGTTTGTCATCTTCAACTGACTCTTGACTGGCCTTGAAACGTGAGTGCCATTCAAAAACTGCTATCTGGCTTAAAGAATATTCTCCAAAAGCCTTACAAAGCATTTCAAGGGTTTCTGTACCTGATTTACTGAGCTTCATGCAACTAGACCCTTCTGTTGTAACTGAATGTACTTGTCTTCATAAGAAATTATTGCTTCCTCTCCTACCTCTTTACTCTTTAATGTATATTTAAATTATGATCACACGCAGTTTGTCATATTGACACAGTTGAACCATTGTAAGCAAACTCTGTGTTGTTCACAGCAAGACGTAATGCTGATGATGATGATGAACAAGAGAACTATGCCAGCCGGTCAGTTGCAGCGATCATCATGATGGTGTTTCAGTATTCTGAAGATCCAGGTGAATCTTTATCATTAACCCCTTTATCTCATTTCATGTCCATGTTGTCTTCGAAACCAAGATTTTGATTTGTGAATATATAGGATACTACCAGGAGAACTTCAGTAGATCATAACTGAAGCCTGTTATGTTAGGCTCTGCCTGGACACTCATCCAAACTTAAAAGCAATATGTAGGGTGGGGAAAAAATGAAAGAAAGAAACTGGGACCATGTGCGATGAGGTACATACTTTCTGTGCTCAGAGTTTATTAAATGAATGAGTGCATTATAGGTGAATTCTATCTGTCCATCTGATTATCTGCATATTTCATTTATGAAACTTAATATTTTGACAAAATTTTATATTGGGTTCCACACTAAATTTGCCAGACAAATTGAATTGTATTTGTCCAGTATATAGCCTACT